GACAATTAAGATACGAATTTAACGCTTTTGACTATATGTATATTCATCGTGCTAGTCAATGTTTACTTGATCGTATTTCCGGAGGATATTAGAGCTCACGGAACAGAGAAACAGATATTGTTTCGCACGATATGTGCGATATATTGCAGCAGTGTACACATAATATTTGTGATTGTTCACGCAGGCTTTGTTTGTTTCCAACATAAATTTCTATCATGCTCCGAATCAAATACGATTTTCCTGCATACATATATATATATGTATGTATACGTACATAGTTGCCGATTTCATTTCTGATACTATTCTCACGCTTGTGCACCGAGATATTAAATAACGTGGCGTTATTTTTGGCGGTTTAAAAATCGGGGAACAATTTTATCGAATTCGTTGCTCGATAGTAATAATCCGACGCTAATGGTTTTATTGTAAATAACGGGGCTGGACGCAAGTCACCGTATTATTACACGCTCAATTTCATGTGAAACTTTTTTTATTAATTATTCTAGAATATGACGCTGCTTACAAGGACAACTACTGATCGTTGAGAGAGGGAGCTCGTTTATCAGAGATGATGTTAGGACAAAGGATACAGGATTTCTAATAATAGAAATGATGAACCATATTGTTGGTAGAAAATGTGCGATAATTGTGTTAGAACCACTGTCGGCGGTTTACAACTGTTTAGGACAAAGGATACAGGATTTCTAATAATAGAAATGATGAACCATATTGTTGGTAGAAAATGTGCGATAATTGTGTTAGAACCACTGTCGGCGGTTTACAACTGTTTAGGACAAAGGATACAGGATTTCTAATAATAGAAATGATGAACCATATTGTTGGTAGAAAATGTGCGATAATTGTGTTAGAACCACTGTCGGCGGTTTACAACTGTTTAGGACAAAGGATACAGGATTTCTAATAATAGAAATGATGAACCATATTGTTGGTAGAAAATGTGCGATAACTGTGTTAGAACGACTGTCGGCGGTTTCTCAACTCTGTTAATTCCATACATACATGTTGCGAAGTTCACGGTTCACAAAACGATCAAGAAGTTCATTTGTAGAAAGTGTAGACGTACTAACCATCTTCGAGCAAGTCTGGGTTATCTTTGACCCGTGTGTCCGACGGCATAAAACCGGCAATGTAACCCGGAACGAGCGACTTGGCGGTTTCAGTGTTAAATGTGTTTTAATAAAATAATATACAGGCCGAGCCATTTAACTCTTCCACCTTCATTTTTCTTATAAGCTACGTGTCGCGTGAAAAGGGTTTTGAACGATAGTTGTTTGCTATACAGGGGAGCTTACGACAATCAATATCTTGCTGTTTACCTCTTTTCTTTTTTTATCAAAATACGAGGGTCACCTCGAGTTTTTTAATCCGCAGCGTCGAATCAATCCGTTCGAAAGTTTATTAAATACAGAATAAAGAACGATTAAGGTGCAAGCGTTCAGAAGTTCGTGTTTATTTGATTATTAATAAATAAATGATTAATTTAATTTTATTATTAGTTAACAAATAATTTGTTATTCTGTATTCTGTATTTCCTTTTGCCGTTCCAAGTAGTAGCAATATTAACAGAAAAAAGCATTTTGGTCATTGCCTAGTAATCTATCATAGTTCTTCTATTGTTTAAACAAGAATTCAAGTCACTTGGCGCATTTTTGAAAGAGCTGTACCGTTTTAAGGGTGAGGGGTGTATACATTCGTCCCGAACCCCAGACATTTTGTGTTCCCGTTTATTTTCCACGTTGTTTTTGCCAAGCCGAAATAATTTCGGGTCCAGGGCTAAATTACTCGAAAAGTTCACATTTTGTTCCGGGTATCGTTACGCTTATCTCGGCGACGGTACATTGAATTCCTACGAATTGGCAAAAAGTCAGCGGCGGTAATCGGGGGGGTCCATCCAGTAGCCCGTGTTTGTCTCAACTGTTTCTTCTGGTGCGCTCTCGAAACGTAACCTACAGTGAAGTCTCCCCAATTGACGCTTAGATTGTTCACAAAAATGGACAGTTTTGGAAGAGGAGACACGATTATTCGAGCCATGCAGCTTATAGTTGTCGACAATTCGTAAATATAAAAAGAAACCGCAAGGCTCGAACAATCGTATCTGCTCTTCCCAGATTGTCCATTTTTGTGTAGGATCCGAGCGTCAGTAAGGGAGACATTACTGTATAGCGGATCCTGCGCGTACCGCGACGCCAGCAGAATTGTTTTCAATAATCTAAATACCGATACGGGGAACGCAAGGTCGGTTGATCGGCGACGTCATTCAGGCGCTGGCAAATGTTGCCGGTGAAAGTTTATCGTACGTGGTAGGGGCCTTTACAGTAGACTCGTGCACGGGGAACTATTCGGGCCGATCCCGTCCACTTCAGGGCTTCGCCTGGCTGTTCCCTCTGCGACAAGACCAACCGGGCTCAGCCGAGGCGGGCTTCTCAAGACGGTCGCGTTCTCGGTCTGCTTGGTCCTGCGAACTCGAATTGTTTGGCCGGTGCTGCGCGATCGCTTTGATCCGCGAATAATCTTTGCGAAAGGAGGCTGGCAAAAATAGGCCGACTTTGGACCGCAAAAACTTGCGTCAGGGTGCGATTCCGTATCTTCTAGAGTATCTTCTTCTAAAGAGTACTAGATTAGATAATTATTTACCTGGGAACCGATGGGGAAGCTATTAACGCTAGATTTACGGAGCACAAGAAACAGCTGTTTTATATTCGTTTATAAAAGCAAAGATAAGACATTTATTCTGATTTTGATATATATAATAATCGTAAATTAACCCTTTGCACTCGAAGCCATTTTAACTGTAAATCTAAAATAATTTTTCTGACCTACGCTCTCTCTATTTCATGTGACAGAGCGCATTTTATGCGCGTGAAATTGAGTCTTGTGACTTATACAACAGCTACCTAAATTTTGTCGATATAAGAATTATTTTGGAATGTGATGCAAACATTTTTTTAGTGGTGCCTCGGAGTCACCACTCGAGCGCAAAGGGTTAAAGAACCAGTGACCCGTCGTTCGGATGTGGCATTATCTCGTGTCAGGATGAGTATACACGTCGTCGCTCGATTCTCGCATATAATATC